TGTATGTATGTATGTATGTATGTATGTATGTATGTATGTATGTATGTATGTATGTATGTATGTATGTATGTATTTTTACTGTGTAATCTTTTAACTTTTTTTCTCTTGCAGCTCTGCCCTTTTGTTCAGTTAGTTGCAATCTGGAAGTCTGCCACTAGATGGCATTTTCCATATGGCCTTCTGATAAACCAACATGATGCTACCAGCTGTGTAAGCTAATCATTTATTTATAATTGTGTTGCAGGTGGACAGTGTTTGATGTGTCAATAATTGTGTTGCAGGTGCATGATGCTACCAGCTGTGTAAGCTAATCATTTATTTATAATTGTGTTGCAGGTGGATGTCCTGAGAGCTCTCGGAGCTGAGATCGTCCGTACACCTACCAGCGCTCGCTTCGATTCGCCCGAGTCTCATGTAGGCGTGGCCTGGCGCCTGAAGAATGAGATCCCCAACTCCCACATCCTGGACCAGTACCGCAACCCAAGCAATCCCCTGGCTCACTACGACACCACGGCTGAGGAGATCCTGGAGCAGTGTGACGGTGCGAACAACTCTAAAATGTAAACTTAGTAAAAAGCTTTCAGCTGTATTTTCAGGACTTTAAAAAAGAATTTCTTCTTGTCCTTTTCAAACAGGTAAAGTGGACATGCTCGTAGCTGGTGCYGGTACAGGCGGGACGATCACAGGCATCGCTCGCAAACTGAAGGAAAGATGCCCTAACATCAAAGTGAGCTACTTTCTGAGAAACTGTTTGAACTTCTGACAAATGTTTTTATCTATAATTTAACCAGTTTGCTAACGAACGGTTGGTGTTGTGTGCAGATTGTTGGTGTTGACCCAGAGGGCTCCATCCTGGCTGAGCCCGATGAGCTCAACAAGACCGATAAGACACAGTACGAGGTGGAGGGAATCGGATACGACTTCATCCCCACTGTTCTTGACAGATCTGTGAGTTCCTCTAGCTTCTTTTTGTCTTCCTCCTATTTTCTGTCTTYCTCACAGACCCACAGAAATGTTCAATTCTTACAGGTTGTTGATACTTGGTACAAAAGCAAAGACGAGGAGTCCTTCAACATGTCTCGCATGCTTATCCGAGATGAAGGCCTGCTGTGCGGTGAGTTCACATGTTTACAACATTGAACTACTTGTTGAATTCTGACTTCTGTTCAGGTGTCGTTTAAATGCAAATTCTCCCCTTTCTGCAACACAGGAGGAAGCTCCGGGACGGCCATGGCTGCAGCTGTGAACGTGGCCAAAGAGCTGAAGGAGGGTCAGCGCTGTGTGGTTATCCTGCCAGACTCCATCCGCAACTACATGTGAGAAACCCCACAACTCCTGTCACCACAAAGCTCMCTGCATTTCTAATCTAACAAGCAACATTTTATTCATTCTTCTTTGATTCTTTTACTTAAAACTACGTGACTGCGCATCAACTGTTCGGCTTCGGATGGAGTATGCAGAGTCCTTAACAGACAATGGGCCTCATGCAAGAACCATTCGTACCAACAGATTTGTTCTTAAGTTGTGCGTACGAGGGGTTTAGGAGAATTTGTGGTGTGCGACTGCTCTTCTGAATAAATGAAAACTATGTAACACAGTTGTTTACACTTAAATTAAAAAAAAATTTGACCAAAGGAAAACCGGAGCAGGACAAGAGAGAGATGAATATGATTTAGATTTTTATTTCTGTGACTGTACGACCCACAGGAGACACAGCAGCAGTCGTCATTTCATTCCTCGGCTTTAGCAGCTCCTTTAATTCCACAGCTGACGCTGCTAAAAAGAACAGATTTTCTTTTCTCAATCTCTGAGAGCAGGACTTCAATCTCCAAACTCGTAGTTCTTCTTTTTACTTTGTGATGTCATTTATGAATGGACACTTCCTGGTATGTGGGGCAGGAAGTGTAGCCTTATACGGTGTTTTTGGGGTGGTAATTATGCTAATCACCTCTCCCCATGCACGAGCACCTGATACACATTCATCAGAATCTGACGTGACATGTCTCATAAATATATTTCTTTCTATCTATCTATCTATCTATCTATCTATCTATCTATCTATCTATCTATCTATCTATCTATCTATCTATCTATCTATCTATCTATCTATCNCTCTCACTCTCACCTAGGGACAATTTAGAGTTATCAATTAACCACATTTAACATTAACAGTCATGTTTTTGGTCTGTGGGAAGAAGCCGGAGTACCTGGAGAGAACCCACGCATGCATGTTTAAACAAAGCATTTCACTAATTGTTTGTAATTATTGTGTACATCATAACGTTCCAAAACAAAAGCCTTTTCACTTCCAATAAATAGTCATAACAAGATGCAGCAAACAGCTTTTGGTGCAAATGTGACCTGTGCTGGCAAACCTAGTTGAAATGAACACAGGCTGCAGTTCTAAAAGTGAAAATTATAATTCTAATGTAAATATCTTAAATGTAAATTTCATAATGAGCATACAAACATATTTAGAAACATGATACAATATTTTAATGACTTTTTTCCTCACACTTATTAAATATAATTTTTTTTGTACATTTTACTGCTCAAATATCAAAGGGAAGTGTACATTAACGCAACATTTAAAAATGGCTGGATAAACGTTCAAAAATATGTTCATCAAAATGCCAAAAATAATTGAATCGTAGATAAAAGTTTAATGGGATTGACATGGGTTTTTCTTATATGAATACGTATCAGCGTTACTAGTTTAAGATTTAGCAAATAGGCGTTTTTCCACATTTGTAAAATTGAACCTGAACGCAAATTGATAAAATGCTGTTTGTGTCTGTCTGCCATGTGTTTTGTGGCACATGTATATGTTTTCGGTAAACACCGCATGGGCGGGGTTAGTTTCTTAAAGGCGACTTCTCAGAGCACCGCCTCAACTAGCCCCCTTACGGCGTACACTGGTGCTCTAAGGGAGCTCACCACTTACCGTTAAGCCCTGTCCAATCAGCGCTGTGAATGATGGCGATGTCTGTGCTAGCAGCTACGAGCAGGGCTAGACGGTCAGTATGGCGGAAAGGAGCAGTGGGAACGACTCAGAGGGACTAGAAAAACAATTACAGAGTCTCTTAAGCCGCTACTCAGGTGACGAACTCGGAGCCGACAGCGAACCGTTCTGCTCTGACTTTTGTAAGGTAAGGAGCTGTTGCTGAAGACGACGTTTGGATGTCGAAGATAAGAGCTTTAGCTTATAATGTTAGCCGACTCCCCTCCCCCAGAACTGGCAGCTAGTGGTGCTAGCAGCGGAGCTAAGCTACTTTACAAACAGAATACAAAATAGCATTTTAACATATGGCTAGTAACTGACGCTGATATGAAAATAAGGATGTTAAAAATCAGGAAGTCGGTCAGAACTTGGTAATATCTGCTCATGAATGTCCATCTACGACGGAGCTTTGGTTATGCTAACTGTTTAGCTATCCATCATGGTACTTTCAAGTTTTCTGTTTATATTTTATACTATGAGCAAACTGACAACTGATTGCATTTAGCACTTATTCACGAGTATTTACTAAATAGCTTAGTGAGTTTATTTTTTGGTCTCTTGTGAAACACATTTGGTCATAAAGACTGGTTTCGGTATCAATAACAGCAGCAAAATATAATGTTAGGTTTTAGTGTCATAAGCATTATTTGTTTATTAGTTTATATGGCCCACCCCCTTCTTGGTAAACCACACAAAAAGCAGTTCAGTTACCTAATAATGACATGTAATTACATAATAAGACAAATCACCAAAGCCTTTGAGTGATTATAATTAGAAAACATTCTACCTTGAATAATTAAAACATAATTGTTAAAACATAAGTGTTTGTTTAATAATATATAAACTGCAATGCAGAATTAGATTTACTGCATCAATGGAGATTAGAAGGGTAAGAAGCAGACAGTTAGGGACCAGCTGGTTTGAACATGTCTACAAAGGCAGAAATAGTTAATTTGCTTTTCTGGAGCATTCCAAGTGTGTTTTTAACATAATGTCAAATAAGAAAGATGTTGTTAATGGTCTTCAGCATTCAGTATTTTCTGCTATCTCTATTTGGAAAGCACTTCCACCTTGTAATTCCTTCAAAATAAAATGCAATAGTGGAAAGATGAACTGAATGACTTCTGATCTATTTGGGAAGGTGGTGTGGGGATGTAGGTGTTGTGATGAAAATAGCACCCCGCCTGGAAAAGCACCATTGTTAAAAGCAACTTGGCATGATCTGTGATTATAGCAGTCACATAATTTATTCATTTTCACACATTTACAACTCATTATAATATATATATATATATATATATATATGATAATGTTTCACTGGGACACTGGCTAACCAAATCATGACAAGGCAGTGTAGTTTACAATTGACATGACGCCTATGATAAAATTGCTCTGCCTTTGTGATCATGTGACCCCAGGTAAAGAAACCTACAAATTAGACAGCTTTAATGGATGACATTGTGAAGCTGACTGCRTTACTGGAGAGATTAATTGAGGTTTATTTATTTTAACAGCCAACATTGAGGCAAAGCACTTCTCTACTGAGTCATTCATCAGTTCAGTAAAGKTTTTTGAAAGAMAAGGAGAAACTGAAGTTAAACCCTGAGTGCTCTGCAGCCAAACAAAGTATAAAATAGTACAGTATATTGTCATTCTAAAGAACTTGCTACTTGTTTCATGTTCATGTGTACATGTTTCATGCAGTCATTGAGCAGTCCATGGTTGAAACTTACAGGTAAATTTAGTAAGAGTATACATTTTGCATTATACAACTATAAATGTGGTGTGTATAACTGGTTCAATAACCGGTCATAGAACTCAAGGAATAAACTTCTGTGATCCAAAGTTACAACGTGGATCTACACATAAAACCAATCATAGCTATTGTAGCTTTAAGGATTAATATTTAATTTAACTGAGATGAAATAAGTGCACAGTGTTGGTAATGGAAACCTTGACAAGTTTGTTGGAGGAAAAGACCGAGCAGTTCTTGCAGCTAGGGGGCGTGTCTCCTGCTAAAAAGCCTACTGTTGGTTGACAGGTGGCGCCATGTCAGTTTTCAGGCTCTGCTATTCTAGTTCCATTTGTGACCCAGGTGTCATCTGATTGACACTTCATGATGAATTTATCAACATTTATGTCCTTCAGGTCTAAGTTCCTGAGTGACAAGTGGATGGTTCAGAAGGGCTTCCTGAGGGAAGAGGACCTGATGGTGAAGAAGCCATGGTATGTGGAGTTCAGAAGTTTAACTGCATCTGTTTAGTGGGTCAGCAGACGTACACAATGCTCAGATTTGCTTTAAATCCTTGCAGGTGGTGGAACTTGAAGCTGCAGAGTTTGAACCTGTCGGCTCCTCTCACCGTCCAGCCYACAGTCACCTGTCAGCAGACCATCAAAATCCTCAAAGAGAAGGGCTTCGACCAGGCGCCTGTAGTGGACGAAACAGGGTGAGGGTGTCTTTGTTTACGTATTGTCAAAGAAATGAAACATTAGTGGTTGAGCTTCATCTCAGGCAGACGTTTCGGTGTTGACATTAACCCTGCATGTGTCTGTTTGTGTAGGGTAATCCTGGGAATGGTGACTTTAGGAAACATTTTGTCATCGATTCTCGCAGGGAAGATCAAACTGTCCGATTCTGTCAGTAAAGTCCTCTACAAGCAGTTCAGACAGGTAAAACACAATTCACTGTCTCTGAACACAAAAAACTCATAAAGCTCCATTACACTTGATCTGATTTACTTTCAATACCGAATGTCCAGTTCTGGTTGGCTGAAAACAGCAGCCAATAAAAGAGAGGAGCGCAGGGGGAGTGTCTCCAGGTAAAAAGGCTTTAATCAGCAGAACTGGAGGCTTTTATTGACACATACTGTGGACAAAAACAAGTTCAAATGTCATGTTCTTACATGAATCTATCCAACAAATTAAGATTTTAATAAATATTAGCTTTTATCTTTCTATTTTAAAATATATTCACATTGTTTCAGAGATATTAAGTATTTGTTTTATAAGCATATTAGATTTTTTTTTACTCTTTAGCACCATCTTGTGGCCATTTGGCTGCTTTACTTTGTGGATCAACTCCAAACTTTTAGTCTTAGGTG